CATTTGTGACCGGCCTCACAATCTTTCAGAGACCTTTGATCAAGTAAAGAGGAACCTTCTGGAAGAAAAAGAAAATGAAGCAAGGCTTAGAAAGTAAGTATTTAAAAAGTGAGATTTATCATCTACAGCTGGGGTTCCAACTCCTTTTAGCTTATGTGCAACACACAGCCCAGTTTGATCTCAAGCGGTGGGACCAGTATAACAATTGCAGAATTCAATTCAATTCAATTTTGTTTATATAGCTCCCCCTATGAGCAAGCACTTTGGGGACAGTGTGAAGGAAAAAGAACAACACTCCTGGTGTACAGCATGGTTGAGCAAATATTTAAGCTAATATTTTCCCAGCTTCTTTGGTTTAATCAGATAGCTTTTTCTTCTCTGAAGGATCGCAGAAAACAACATTGAAATTCAGAGACAGGACCACGAGGCCGAGGTGGCAACTCTGAAAGAGGAGATAAAAAGGCTGAAAGAAGAACGAGTCATCCTGCAGAGAAAGTTAGAAGAGGGGGCGCAGGCGAACTCAGACCTGCAGGAGCAGATCATCCAGCTCACCAAGCATGTCAAACTAATTCCCGAGCTACGCAGAGATCTGAACAACCTGCAAAATCAGAGAAATAACATGGAGAGAAAGATGAAGCAGCAGTCGGAACAAGCAAGAGGTGTGTATAGAATTCTATGTAAAAAAAATAATCTCCTTTGTGTAAAGTCGTTTGTTGATGAGCCTTGAATGTTTTCTGCAGGTAAAGTGAGTGAGATCGCGAGGCAGCTTCTTGGAGGTGTTGTTGAAGAGGAAGTTCTACTGGGGTAATCCAGATATTTTGAGCACTGTGTTTCCTCACTTCATCTCTATTAGTCATTTAACCTGACACATTTCTCCAAAGGATGACTTCTGACGAATCAGAGAAGATTTATGAAGTTGAAGATTTGCTGTCAGCCTTTGAAGGCCTACAAAAAGCCATCAGGTCTTTATTTTTCAACCATAGCAAACCACTTTCTTATTAACAGAAACGTGCACCTTTCCTTCTGGGTGTCTGTACTTGAATTTGTTAAACGTCTCACATTTGTTGGCAGGATTCTAGAAAACCACCAGAGGGAGCAGAAGGAAAGCTATGAGACTCAAGTAGAGGGCTTGAAATTGAAAGTGGACCACCTTGAGAATGAGAACAGCAAGCTGCAAAACCTGTTCCAGGAGAAAAGCAATGTCAATGAAAATATTTGCCAAGAAGTGTCCAGACTCAGCAGTGAAAACTCAGTATGTCATTGCACGTTTTATTCAATACGTCACGGGTTAAAGGGGCGAGCTTCAGAATGTAACTGTGACGTCTGCTTTAATTTCATTCGCAGGTGATCCCGGAGCTGAAGCTGCGGGTTTCAGAGCTGCAGAGACAGAAACAAGAACTTGAAGGCCTTGTCGAGGAGCAGAAAAGAGAATTAACAGGTACACTCTTTTGTTCAGGAGTCTCGCAGTGAAGCAGATTACTGTTTTAACTTGCTCTTTTGTTTTTATGTCATTCAACAGAAAAAACCAAAGAGATCACTCACAATCTTCAAAAGAAGATTACAGAAGAGAGCTCACAACGGAGGTAAATTACTCAGAGGTAGTGATGTCTTTCTTGATTAAAGTAGTGATGGTCATATCTGGTTCATCCTGATTTTGGATGCTTTTTTAGGTACTTTGAGGAGAAAGCTGAAGAGCTGGAGGGGGAGAAGAGAGCGCTTCAAGGCAGAGTAGAGGAGCTGGAAGAGGAGAATGATCACTTGAAGAGACAGCAGCTGATGGAGAATGAGGTCAAAAGCAAACTCAGAGAGGAGACTTCACGGTTAACTGCTGAGAACATGGTGCGTTGAGCGTACGAAGGGTAGAAGGTTACAGAGAGAGTAAACCAATAACTGATTCCACTTTTAATTCAGGACTTTGACGAGCTGCTCGACCAGAAAGACAGATTAATAAAGAAACTTCAGACTCAAGTTAAGAGCCTCGAAACGTCACAGAGAGGTAGCACCGGAGCTTCCGCGCCACATGAAAACAAAGAAATCGAGTCCATACAAGCTATCTCAACTTTTTCATCACATTTATTGTTTCTCAAACAGCGAGGCAAAAAACTGCATCCACCCTGCCCAAAGACTACCTTGGCATGTTGGAGTACAAGAGAGAGGATGAACCAAGGCTCATTGAAAACATCATTCTGGGTATTCTTCCCCTGCACTATGTCTGCAATATGCCCATGTTACCTGCCTTTTATTTAATAATCATATAAGCTATTTGATCCATGGATGTGAGCAGGAGTGAGGGTATTAAAACTCAGATGAATGGATAAACCATATTCTCTGACAAATTTGTCCCAATTTCCTCGCAGATCTGAAACTCAAAGGCGTGGCGGTCAACATGATCCCGACCCTGCCAGCTTACATCCTCTTCATGTGCATCCGCCATGTGGACTACCTGAACGATGAGGCAAAACTCAAGTCCCTTATGAATGCAATCATTGTTGGAGTCAAGAAAGTCATCATGGTAAGGTTAACTATTTTTGTAACCCTTGTTTAACCAGTAAGTAAAACTCTTGAGCTCAAGATTCTTGTTTGGGGTTTTGCACCCCAGATAGGTGGGGTTAAGCTAGCTGAGAAACAAGTCCTAGCAGGAGGAGGTGGGGTAGACCCAGGACATGCTGCAGAGATTATATCTCTTGGCTGGCCTGGGAACACCTCTCTGTTCCCCTGGATATATATGGATAGACTAGTGAATGGATTGATGTATTTTGAGGTATTGTTTATATCTAATAATGTAAAGAACATTTTCCTGTTTTAGAGTCATCAAAAAGATTTAGAGTTCCTGTCCTTCTGGCTCTCAAACACCCACCAGCTCCTCAACTGTCTGAAGCAGTACAGCGGGGAGGAAGTACAAATTTACTTTTTTTTAAATTCAGTAGTTACTGTTTCATTTCTGTCTGTTGATAATATCATATACATATTAAAATGCTCTTGTTTTCCATCCTGTTAACAAAAGGAGTTCCTGAAGCAAAGTACACCTCGCCAGAAAAAAAACTGCTTGAAGAATTTCGATTTGTCGGAACACAGACAGATTCTCAGCGATCTGGCCATCCAAATCTATCATCGGTTTATCTCAGTCATGCAAAAGACTCTTACTCCCACTATTGGTAATGTTTTTTCAAATGTAATATTTTGCAAAAAAAATCCTTACTATGACTTTTATGAGTAAGCTAAACCCTACTTCTACACTTTCTTAGTACCCGGCATGCTGGAGCACGAGAGTCTACAGGGGATTTCTAGCATGAAGCCGACGGGCTTCAGGAAGCGTTCCAACAGCTTCTATGAGGAATCAGAGACCTACACCATCTCCTCCATCCTCCAGCATCTAACTGTCTTCCACTCCACCATGAACCACCATGGTCTGGACCAGGGCCTCATCAAACAAGTGATCAAACAGCTGTTCTACCTCGTGGCTGCGATCACTCTTAACAACATCATGCTCCGCAAGGACATGTGCTCCTGCAGGAAGGGGATGCAGATCAGGTCTGTGCTCGCAGATCAGGTATGTGCTTTGAACAAAACTCAAAGAGAGTTTAGTTTAACAGCTGCTTTCTCTTTTCAGATGCAACATCAGTTATCTAGAAGAGTGGCTGAAAGAGAAGGAACTTCAAAACGTGAACGCTATGGATACTTTGAAGCCACTGGCTCAAACTGCGTGGTTACTGCAAGTCAACAAATCCACTGATGATGACGCCAAGGAGATCATTGAAAAATGCTCTGAACTCAGCCCCGTTCAGGTACTTCCATCTGTTGTTTAAAATGTGGTTTTGGTGGATTTTTTTTTTTTTTTCATTTTTAAATCTTGCACTAAACTCCAACCTAACATTAAAATTTATAGATTGTCAAAATTTTGAACTCGTACACACCCATTGACGATTTTGAAAAAAGAGTGACATCATCGTTTGTCCGCAAAGTTCAGGTGAGCCCAGCCATTCACTTTCAAATATAAAAACCCTCCTAGCCAAAAAAAATACAGTTGACTAAGCTGTCAATATATTTCTCATTCCAGTCTTTGCTCCAAGACCACGAAGGCTCCGCACAGCTGATGCTGGACGCAGATTATCGTTTCCAGGTCACGTTTCCTTTCTGCACGTCCACACAGGCTCTGGAGCTGCTGCAGGTCCCGAACAGCCTTCATCTCGACTTCCTCAACAGGATCTGACACACAGATCTTTGACATTTTTACTCCTTATACTGAGTCTTGGTCAGTTTGTTTAAAGTTGCACTAGATTGTAGATAGAAATATTTAAGCACTTTCATTAAAACCCTGTACAGCACATTTTTAAAACAAAGAACAACTGAATAACATTGCAACATTTTGACCAAACACAACATAGCAATGATATTTTATTCTTGTGTACTGTATATAATATGTGTGTGTGTGTACATTTTTATTTAAATTGCAATAACATGCTAAATAAATGAATAAAGGCATTATCTTGGATTAAAGCTATACCAATGCAAACCTATTTTATACTATCATATACTCAGGTTAAAATACAGCAAGGCTAAAATATGACTTAATTAAATGCTCACTGTGTATTTTTTTTTTCATATGTGTGTCCTGTAGTTGAATCAGAGGATGTAAGATGTGAAAATGAAGTAATATGAATTAATAAAATAGCATGCCAAATCACCAACTCATAGCAGCTCATTAAAAAAAATGAAGAAGAATAAAATTACTTTAACAAACAATATTACTTTTTTTCTCTGTAATTCTTTTTTGGTTAAAATGAAAACATCTTTGCTCCATTTCAGCATATTAAAATGCCAGAAAGCCCTCTCTCCCTCTCCCTCTGCCACATTAATGCCTTTCAGGCAAACGAGCTTGTCCCTTCTCTTCATGTGGGCAGTGTGAAAAAAATGCATTATTAATCTGAGTATAGTGTTGCTTTGGGGATGCATCCTGTGTGTGTGTGTGTGTGTGCGGCAGCATCACCGGGATGCAGGATCCTCCTCCCCTGGAAACTGGAGGAGCATCTTCGCCCTCTGACGTCATGACAGCAGCATCAGCTGTTAGCTCTGCTCTAAGCCTTTTCGCTGCCGATCGCTTCCTGCTCAAAGGAAATATATGAGATCCCCTCCAACCCCTGAAATGGCGACACAGGAGGTACCGCTGAACGAGACTCTGGCTCACCTCAAAACGGAGTCGGAGACGCTGAAGTCGAAGCTGGAGGAGGAAAGAGCGAAGCTGCACGATGTCGAGCGTGAGTGCTAAAAAAAATGGAGAGGCCCTGATTCATTCCTGCGTTTACCCTGTGACGGGACGGATAACAGCGAGCGTCTCCTCATAGCCTCACGTTTCTCCGCCAGAAGTCAAAGATCGCCGGTGTTACCGGAGATGGGGGATTTGGCGGAGCAGATTATCGATCCGATCGGCGCCGATGTCACCGATTTGACAAGAGACGGGGGGTTTGCCTCCCCATTTCATAGCCTAATACTTTCATCCATGTTTCATCCGTGGACTGTTTTCCTTTCCTTTCCTTTCTTTTTATTTATTGATTTATTTTTACTCATATTTTACTCATAATATCTGAACAATATGACAATTAAAGCAAGAGTGTGAAATAAAAACGTGAAAATCAAGCACAGGTCATTTCTGATGAATATTTTATGTGATTCGGGCTATCTGAGACATGGCAGATTAAAGATAGATTAATTCAATATTCCTCCATTTAGATGGGCCTGCTGTAGTTTAATCCTGGCTGCTGCCACGAGTGTTAATGTGGGGACATGTTTAATGTATAATATACATGTGTGTTTGTGCAGTACATCAGGTGGCAGAGAAGGTGGAGGGGCTGGGCCAGTTTGTCATGAAGACCCGGAGGACCCTGAAGGGGCACGGGAATAAAGTTCTGTGCATGGACTGGTGCAAGGACAAGAGGAGGATCGTCAGCTCCTCACAGGTCACAAACCTCTAGTCTCGTTTCCAGCTGACTGCAGAGCAAGTTTGTTGTTGGTGGCATGTGTTTTAAAAGTGTACAAACCTTTATTATCTTTTGATGCAGGATGGAAAAGTTATTGTGTGGGACGCTTTCACCACCAACAAGGTAACATTTACTTTTCATGGGTCATCATGACATATTCTTAGATATTTGTATTTTTCGCTTTTGAATCAATAATAATAAAAATAATATAAATTTCCATGATGATAATAAGTTTGCTTTAGATAGGATTTTTTTTTTTTTTTTTTTTAGATCAGATAGGAGTGACACATAGGATTTGTGCATCAATATATCTATTGTGTGCTGATGGTAAATCCAACTGTCCTATTTTTATGAACGAGACATCAGAGTTAGATGATAAAAACTGACCGCCAAATTGTGTAAAAGTGTTTTCTAAAGTTTTCTACATGTGACAAACCAAAGCTAGTTGTTCTGCTTTGATTATGGATAATGAATTCTCCCTGTGCGGCTCAAGCACAAAAGCCTTGTCTTCTGATGTTTACAGGAACATGCTGTGACAATGCCTTGCACCTGGGTGATGGCCTGTGCCTATGCCCCCTCTGGCTGCGCTGTAGCTTGTGGGTGAGTGCGTTACTCTCTTTGATGATCCAGATCTGGTTGTATTTTTCTGTACTTTTGTTGCTTTTCTGTATTTTGTTTTTGTGGTAAAGTGTGTAGCTTCTCTGTTGCAGAGGCCTGGACAATAAATGCTCAGTTTATCCTCTGTCTTTGGACAAGAATGAGAACTTAGCTGCAAAGAAGAAGTCAGTGGCCATGCACACAAACTACCTGTCTGCTTGTAGCTTCACCAACTCGGATATGCAGGTGAGAAAACTGTCACCACACTCTAAAAACATCCACAAACCACTGAGGATCGTGGGTAAAATGCCTGTGGAAACAGTAGCTGCAAGCTACCTTTTTATTTTTCTCTCAATCAGATATCACTTCCTTCTATGTTCCAGTGAAGGAGCTCCCATACTTTGTTAATAATTTACAAGTTTGACTTCCTGGTCACATGAGGCGTCACACTGCAAAGGCAGTCCATTTCCAACTACATGATAGTCTGTAACGACTTCTATTTTTTTTTCTCTTGCCGCATGCATTCAAGATCCTGACGTCCAGCGGGGATGGAACATGTGCATTATGGGATGTTGAGAGCGGGCAGCTGTTACAGAGTTTCCATGGACACGCTGCAGATGTGTTGTGTTTGGATCTGGCCCCATCTGAAACCGGAAACACGTTTGTTTCGGGGGTGAGGACACTTTCTGCACAGCTTTCGGTACAGCTTACTTAAAGAGGCTAAACACTGAAATTTTTGACACTTTCTGCTTTGCTTCCATTGGCAGGGCTGTGATAAGAAGGCCAATGTCTGGGATATGCGTTCAGGGCAGTGTATTCAGTCCTTTGAAACTCACGAGTCAGACATAAATAGTGTGCGGTAAGTCGCCCCCTTGTAATGGCTCCTGAATGTAAGTGTAGAGAAGGCAAGTGTAAAGATGAGCGCATTTTCTATTTATAATTACGCATAAAAAGGAGGTGTTTTAAAGGCCTCATCATGTGTGCATTATCATAACATATTGTATGTTATTGCAATGGCCTCTATATTTTTTTTGCAAACAAAAATGTTAAAATCTGGAGTCTCATTTTCTTATGCTACCACTAGGAGTTGCTATAAGTCAGAAGTTTTCAAATCTTACATGTAAGAGCTTTAAAAATTGATTTCTTATTAGTGCTGTCTGTATTTTAACAGATACTATCCCAGCGGAGACGCTTTTGCATCTGGATCGGATGACGCTACAGTAAGAATTGATTTCTTCATGTTACCTTTGACTGGTGAAGCCAGTTTTCATGTGCAGTGTGCTGCACATAATTAATCATAATTACACTGCACCATAAAAAACCCCCAAAAAATGAAAACACTTCCCTTTGTTACAGTGCCGCCTGTATGACCTAAGGGCAGACAGGGAAGTGGCTATCTATTCCAAAGACAGCATCATATTTGGCGTCTCCAGTGTTGATTTCTCGCTCAGTGGTACGATATATAGAATATTTACCTTCGCTGTTGTTTGTACTGAGCTTAAGGATAATGCCGTTAAAACATTTTGGGTGTGCCCTCTCTTTCCCCAGGCCGGCTACTGTTTGGTGGCTACAACGACTACACCATTAATGTTTGGGATGTTCTCAAAGGAACACGGGTCTCTATTCTGTTTGGACACGAGAACCGTGTCAGCACCCTGCGGGTTTCCCCTGATGGGACAGCCTTCTGCACAGGTTCCTGGGACCACACTCTTCGGGTATGATATCTGATCTGGCACATGTGATTACTCCAGGTTTCTGTCTGATTATATCTTGTAATGTCTATTTTCTTTGCCTTCCAGATCTGGGCCTAAGCATCAAGACACAAAGGATTAAATAGTAGACAGAGCTACTGAAGACACACTGATGTTTCTGTTTGCTAGAGTACAATCACAGAGATAGAGACTCAGTTTTGATTGTACATAGGGCACATCAATAGCATTGTATATACTCCAGTGTTTTGGCCAGGGTAGATTTACATATTTTAAAGAGTAATAAACCAAATGGCTAGCTCGCATTACAATGTGATGGGAAGATTACAACTGATTACAACTATGAAGTTGAAAACAAGTATATTACTGAAAATATTATTGGTAGTGGCTTGCATCAGTCTAGGATAGAAGTGATACAATAATGTGATGTGTTAATTAGCCCACATGGAGGAAAATACATGTTTACTTATTGTTATTATTTTTTATCAAACAAATGAGGACATTCATTCAGTGGAGACATCAAAGAGCAGGTGGGCTTTTCTGTGAATGGCAAAAGTTATGAGAAATGATAATGAGATTTATGGAGAAAGGTACAAATTAATATTTTATTTTTTGCAAATTATATTAAATGTACATCTAACAAACAACCTGTGCACCCAACAGCTGCTTCTCACCTGCCAATATAATACTGTATCAATATCAATGCAAAGAAAGCACATTAATAGGTAAACATGAGATGAATTTTTTTTTTTTCATTCCTGTAATTTAAAACATGGTTTACTACATCTTTTTTCGTTTCCAGATGTGGAAGCCACTCACTACTCGATGTGCACTAGAGACACCCTGAACTTGTGCTACCCCACTGTTGAAATACTAATATGCTTAAAAAAATTAATTTAAAAAAAAATATATACATATAATTGAATGTACTCCTTTTCATGCAGTTGTCCAATGGTTGTAATTTCATATTTAGAGTAATTATTGTAGTTTAGTGTACAGATATGCAGGGGACTGTTAATCAAACTATTACAAACATAATAAAATCAGTTTTGAATATCGCTCCTACGTGTCTCTTTATTATTATTATTATTATTATTATTATTATTATTATTATTATTATTATAATTATTATTATCTCACTGTTACTGTTTAGGGTTTCCAATAAAGTTTCAAATCAAGCGGAAGTGACATCATCAAAAAGCCTTGCCGATTCAAAACAATGGCCGACAGGAGAGCCAGCGTTGTAACTCTTGTAGTCGTTTTAAATGTTTAACTAGTAACATTTACTGTGTGTATGTAAGAGACTCTTATTGTGATGTTTAGCGATTTAATAAGTGTGTTTTATAAGAGAGAAGCCAGCTGCTTAGTCCGCTTTTAGCTGCCAAAATGAGCGATGTTGTGGAGAAGACGCTGACAGCTCTGCCGAGCCTCCTCTCTTTAGACTCTCACCCTGGGTCTGCAAAACTGTCCTCTACTTCAAAGCTAGGAAATCTCATCAGAGGAATCACTGAGCTAACGTCTAAACATGTGAGTTTGCCCTTTGAAATGAACTAAAAACAAGATAAGTTGACGATACCGTCTAAGGTTGCTAAGCTAAGCTGCCTGTGCTAACTCATTATTGGCATGTCTTTACGTTTAACCTACTTACTGGAGGCCTTACATTACTGTACTAAGTTAGAGGCTGGTTTACAGGCGTTGTGTTGTTTTTGCCATGTTAATATCATGTGGCAGAACAAATGATAGCAGTGCTACTTCACGCATTTATCCTCACTGGTGCGTTCATGTCATTTTCGTTAACTCAGACAAATTGGAGAAGTTCGTCTTCTGGGATTTCCGAGGTTTTGGTAAATGTTTTTTGGACAGGATCCTGGTATTTATCACGTCTAGTCTCTGTGACAGAAAGCACTCAATGCATACAGGACAAGTAGTCAGCAGTATTCACTCACTTGCCACTTTATAAGGTACACCTGTTCAGCTGCTTTTTAACACAAATCTCTAATTTCGTTGCAGCAGTTCCATGCATTTAGACATGCGAACCCGCTGAAGTTCAAACTTGACCACCAGGAATCTGGAAAAAGGGTGATTTAGGTGATCATGGCATGGTTCTTAGTGTCAGACAGGCTGGTCTGAGTATTTCAGTCTTTCAGATTGCTCCTCTGCTTGGATTTTCTCTAGAGTTTATAGAGAACATTGCCCGAAAAAGAGAAAACGTAGAAGAGAAAACCTGAATGTTTAAATTCTGAATGCACAACACACTTAACTGTGAAGCAGATGTGCTATAGCTGCAGAAGACCACACCAGGTGCCACTCCTGTCAGCTAAGAACAGGAAACTGACTGGAGGAACTGATTAATAAAAGGGGGAAAAAGAACAGGAAACTGAGGCTACAATTTGGATGGCCTCACCAAATATTGGACAATAAAAGATTAGAAAAATGTTGCCTGGTTTCACATTTTCTATTGGAACATTTGGATTGTTGGGTCTGAACTTGGCATAAACATCTTGGATCCATCCTACTCAGTGGTTCAGGCTGCTGCTGCTGGTGTAATGGTGTGAGAGATATTTTCTTGGCACATGTTGGGCACCCCGGTGCAAACTGAGCATCAATTAAACGCCATAACCTGAATAACACGCCATGTCACAAAACTCAAACCGGTTTCTTGAACATGACAATGAGTCCATTTTCAACAGAAATATTTGTGGGTGTTTTCTATTTTTTTGTGGGTTTTTTTGTACTACATGAACACTAAAGTGGCCCCCCAATGAGATGACAGTGCCAACAGTGGCCCACACTCATTTAAGTTTAGACCCCTGCTCTACAAGGTATCGTCAAGGCCGAAAACTTTATGACAGAATTCAAATAATTCTCATGTTCAGTAGGAATACTCTATAGGAATAAACCTTGAGTCTCACAGTCTGAAATACATTTAAACTTGTGTTTCTTTGCATCACTGGCTCGCTGTAAACTTCTCACTACCTTGAAATAAGCATGACTCGGTAAACCACCAATGTATTTCATCTTACTTCCCATTGTTTCCTGTTCTATAGGAGGAAGAAAAACTTATTCATCATGAGCTTTTGGGGATCAAAGAACAAGTGTCCTCTCCCAACACCACCATGGTAAATCTTTCCTGGTTTTTCTCTGCTGTCTTGCACAAGAAATCATATACATTAAAATTCCACTAAGACACGAAGTTACCAGTGTGTTTACTTCTTCCTTTTGTCATAATCTGATTCAGAGGCAGATGAAGGAGCTCATGGTGCGATCGATCTACTGTGAAATGTTGGGCTACGAGGCTTCCTTCAGCTATATTCATGCCATTAAACTAGCTCAGCAAGGCACTGTTCTGGAAAAGAGAGTCGGTAGGTTTAATAAATAACTCATTCCTCAGAGTCTCGTGTGTCAGGGCCCATTTGTTCTTATGATCTACACACAAGGCCAGGAGGAGCAGCTGATGATGAGGCAGGTTGCATAAACCCATTAGGACAACGAGGAGAATATTGCATGGAACAATAAAAGCTTTGTCCTTTGTGGCAAATTCTGACATATGTCTAGTTTCATAACTCATGTTTGATTACTTGGAAAAAACATAAGGGTGTTGATGAGATGAGAGAGTCAGCTGAACAGAATGTACTGACAGGAGGTGGGCTCCAGCTGGTTGTTAAAAGCTGCTGATTTTCCTTTAAATCCTTGGCACACAGAACGACATATAAAATACCATGAAGAAATAAAAAAAACCCACCGCACCTGGTCTCATGAATCATTTTACATTTATGTTCCAGTGCGAGTCCTTATGTGGCCTCGCTCCCTCCTCTTTTCGTAATTTAAAGGATAATACTGTCATTTTTGAGGATTTAACAATAAAGATTTATACAAAAAAAGACACAAGGTGGTACTTTAAAAGCTTCAGAGTGTTGAGAGTGTTGCAGAATATGGATTTATTTACAACATCAGTGTTAAATATGAAAAAGCTAGACTGCTTTGGTCACAAATATGTTTATTTGTGGTTTTTCAGGTTACCTCGCTGTGTCCTTATTTCTGAATGAAAGTCACGAGCTTCTGCTCCTCTTGGTAAACACTGTGTTAAAGGTGGGCGTGGGCTTACACAACATTCGTCATACGATGTCCAAAAGGGAATTTGGGATATTTGATTGCCGTGTTTTGTGTTCACAGGATCTTCAGAGTACAAATCTTATTGAAGTGTGCATGGCTCTGACTGTTGTCAGCCAGATGTTCCCCAAAGATATGATCCCTGCAATCCTTCCTCTAGTGGAGGAAAAACTAAATCACCCAAAGTAATGAACGCTGCTCATCACCTGCATGCATGGTTGAATATTTCTTTGTGCCGTTGAGCTTGAATATTTTTATTAATACGTTTTTGTGGGAACAAACTTTCAGAGAAATCATTAGAAGGAAAGCAGTCCTGGCGCTGTACAAGTTCTACCTAATAGCACCAAATCAAGTTCAGCACATCCACAACAAGTTTCGCAAAGCTCTTTGTGACAAAGATCCTGGTGTGATGACAGCCTCACTACACATCTACCTGCAGATGATCCAGGTAGTTACTGGTTTCCTCATAATTTGCAGTACTCTGTTGAAATGTACATATGTATGGATTTATTTATTTTTTATGCTTTAATACAGGAGAACCCAGAAGCTTACAAGGACCTGACGCCAAGTTTTGTCACCATATTGAAGCAGGTGGTGGGAGGAAAGCTGCCCATGGATTTTAATTATCACACTGTTCCTGCTCCATGGCTTCAAATTCAGCTGCTCAGAATACTCTCCTTACTTGGGAAAAATGATCAGAGGTAGATATTATTTGTCCCATCTTCACATCTCACTAATTTCACTCGATTCTTCACTGATTTTGTGCTTGTTCTCTCTCTTCATAGTACAAGTGAGGTCATGTATGAAGTCCTTGATGAGTCTTTACAAAGAGCAGAGATGAACCATAACATCACTTATGGTATGCAGCGTTTCTAATCAGTACGTTTTTTGTAACCATTTAAGTTCTTCTGTCAGCCACTTATATACGTTTCTCTTTATTTCCAGCTATTTTATATGAGTGTGTAAAATGTATTTACACAATTCATCCAAAGTCCGACCTTTTGGAAAAAGCTGCAAAGTGCATTGGAAACTTTGTTTTGTCCCCCAAAATAAATCTAAAATATCTAGGTAAGAGACAAAGAGAAACACGACTGTACATAAATAATGTCTCTTTGTTGAAAATCTAACAAAAACACTTTCTCTATGATACTGCAGGCCTGAAGGCCCTCACCTACGTTGTCCAGCAGGATCCTAAACTGGCCTTGCAGCATCAGATGACCATCATAGAGTGTCTTGATCACCCTGACCTCATTATTAAGCGTGAGGTGAGGCTCACGGTGATGTATTCTGAACGTGTGAGGTTGTAGGGTTGCAGGTTTTTAGCATTACCAGGCTTCTTCTTTTTTTTTTGTCTTGTAGACGCTGGAGTTGCTCTTTCGCATCACTAATGCCCAGAATGTTACAGTCATTGTTGAGAAGATGCTGGAGTTTCTGTGTATCAGTGAAGATGATCACACTACCATTGACCTGGTGGGAAAGGTGGCAGAACTGGCGGAAAAATATCCTTTAAAGTGTAATCGTCTTAAATGCCCATTCATTATCACTCCTGTGGCCCTCTGAAGCTGTAAAATGCTGCGACTAAGAAATCACAGTCATAGAATTTTGGCAAAACTCATATTATTACTCTGTGCAGGCCAGTCACGTTCTTCCAGTCATCCATGTCTTTATGGACCTTACTTTGTGCACTGGTATGCAGTCATGTTGGAAGGAGTTGCCATGGCCAAATTGTTCAAAGAAGGTTGGGAGAGTCAAATTGTCTAAAATGTCCTGGTATGCTAAAGCATGAGACTGTAGTTCAGGTGGTAGAGCACTAATTGGTGGTGGTTTGATCCCCCGTCTGCTCCAGTCCGCATGCCAACTATGATAACAATGTATTATAATTAATGAATGTGTAAGTATGAGTGTGTGTGAATGTTAGAGAGAAAGAGAGCTTGTGTGAATGGGTGAATGAGGCAAGTTGTGTAAAGCATGTTGAATGCACACTTAGAGTAGAAAAAAAAAAAAATATAAGAACCATTTACTTTCACTGGAACTATGGGCCCATAATCCAACCGTTAAACCCAGACTCCTCCATCAGGTCGTAGTGATTGAGCCTGCAGAAAGTCGGTGACCTCTGTGTTTCCTTTCCAGTCACCTTTCTCACTCACTATGTGTTAATAGACCTCTCTGTATTGAATCATATCTGTTATTAATCTCTGTCTCTCTTCCACAGCATGTCTTTTATCCTGTCTTCCTTCTCTCACCCCAACCGGTCGCAGCAGATGGCCGCCCCTCCCTGAGCCTGGTTCTGCCGGAGGTTTCTTCCTGTTAAAAGGGAGTTTTTCCTTCCCACTGTCGCCAAAGTGCTTGCTCATAGGGGGTCATATGATTGTTGGGCTTTTCTCTGTATCTATGAAGCGCCTTGAGGCGACATTTGTTGTGATTTGGCGCTATATAAATAAAATTGAATTGAATTGAATTGTGCACTATGTGCCTCAGCATCCGCTGACCCTGCTTTGTGGATTTTACGAGGTGTACAACTTTGTGGCTGAATTTCTAATGATCCCAATCACTTCCTTTTGTGATAAAACCTCTAACAGTTCACTGTAGAATATTTAGTAGCTAGGACATTTCACAAATGGACATGTGGTAGGGACTCAGTGTTCTTCACCCACAGTGAATGCACTGCACAAAAAAGGTTTTGAAAAATCCTGATGTAAATTTATACTTCCTAGCAATAATATGATGAATTTAGAGAAAACATTAACATTCAAGTTTCTTTTTATTGGAAACCCTTGATACTTTTTTTCAGTTAATATTGCGCTAAAACATCATAACTATCAACAATTGGAGGTTGAGATTACGTGACAGAAAGTAAACAGAAACTAACAAAAGATTTTTAAATATAATCTCATTTATGATGCTAATTTAGTACAAATTCACTGCAATTTTCTCCATGATAGATTTTCAACCTGTCTGGGGTTTACCCCAACCTGTTGCCCAAAGTGTATCTTTTATACTTTGTTTGTTAAATTTCTTGTATTTTCCTATAAACCACTGTACATATGCACCAGATAATGAGTGGTTCATAGAAACGATGAACACTGTGTTTTCTCTTGGTGGAGACATGATGCAGCCTGACATCCCTAACAGTTTTCTCAAACTGCTGTCTGAGGGTGAGAAACCCACACGCTCAAATGATTCTGCTGTGATTTTCTTGCTCACTGATATGATGCTGATTGATTGAAATTTTAATTGTGAGCGATGGATGATGAATTTCTCTCTAAATACGCAGGCTTTGACAGTGTGGAGGAAGACAGGAAGTTGAGGCTGTTTGCTGTGAATTCGTACATTCCTCTGCTGCGGGGAGAGCCTGGCAAACTGCCACAGCGCTTCCTCCAAGTCATCAGCTGGGTGAGTGATGCTCTCACGATGTGAATCATTAATAGACTTTTATTATTATTATAATTATTATTATTACATATTATTATGTAATAAGAGCGAGAAGCAAAAGAACAGTACATGCAGTTACTGCTCGGTTTACGTCATACAGTTAAATATAAAAGTGCCTGAAATACAAAATTCTTTTAAATTAATGTTCCGAAAAATGGAGGAAAAATAAAATGAGTGCTGTGAAAAAATATGAGTGTACAAATTCTGCACAGGTTTCAGGATCCAGAAGCTGAACGTTTAGTCATGTCTGAGTCTGGTCGAGAACATGTTAGTCAGCTCACAGGAACTGAAGCCTGTGACAAATAAACAACACAGCCAGGTTAATATGTGTTAGCTTGAAATATCGAGGCAGTAACCAACAAGAACAAGTGCAGATGTGTTTGCTTTTTCCTGACCCAAGAGTCGGGAAGCCCAAAGAGATCAGCTAATAAAGGAGCACAAATGTTGCCTCACATTAAAGTGGATTATGTGGTAAGTTTGATCTTTTGACTACTGAATTTATAAAGAATTACATTTTTAAAAGGACTCAAAAAATAACCAAACTAGTTGAACCGCAACAGTAAACCAGCCTCCAGTGTATTAAACAGGTGGCCTACACACCCACTATTATTCCTCTCTCCTGATCACACCACACCTGTAAAAAGGGTTGGCAGTTTCCCTTCCTTAAGAATGGCTTCTTGATAACCACCCTTCCACTGTGACCACTAACAAAATACTTAAAAATACAGATTAATACTGGTTCTTTGCTAAATTGTCTATTGTATGATTAGGGAAAACACTAGTTCATCCCTTGATTTAAGTGCTTGAATAATTCACATGTCCATATTAAGTGGCTCAGGACTGAGATTGGACTGAAAATGGGGGACAAAGCAGCCAATATCCAAAGGAAAAACTTAAAAAAAAAAAAAAAACCTTCACAAAGCCTGAAGAACTATTCCTCAAGACCATTTTAAAAAAGTTGCTCCTTGGAAGTAAAATATAAAAAATGAGGGCTGGCTCAAGACTTTTGTACAGTGCTGTATGAAAACGGGATCATAACCAGGAACTGTTCTTTAGAAATAGGTGGAGAAACTACTTGCTTTGGGTATCACTGCAGAAGGTGACACTAGTTTAAAAGAGAGAGACAACAACAAGTTTACAGTTTTCCTGTGTTGCAACTAAAAACGTTCTACAGAACTTCATTAATATTTATGCTAAACCTTTACTTACTCTCTGTAATTCCCAGGTGCTTGGGGAATACTCTCATTTGAGGGAGGATCTTGAACCTGCTGAAGTCCTGAGCCTGCTAGCCAAACTTTTGGACATGAAAAACAGCAGTAGTGAAACCAAGAGCTGGGTCCTCATGGCCATGACCAAACTCTGCAAAGGTGGCGCTGATGCTTCTGTAACTCAGGAGGTTTCTGAGACATACAGCAGCTCCCTGGATACAGTGCTGAGACAAAGGGCGCATGAGTTGCAGTACCTCAGCCAAGACCCTGAACTAAGAGCCAGGGTGTTGCCACGAGGTGCCAAACCAGAGACTCTGGAGGTAACGTGTTTAACTTGTTTGCAGTGAGCAGAGAGCCCGGCCACATTAATAACATTTAAATATTAACTCTGTAGCTCTTTTCGCAGTAAAAGCAGGTTAGTTGATGGTTGTGAAAACCTGCAAACACTTTATGGAAACACCCCTCAGGGTGCAAAATTGAATAGATTGATGACAGCCTTTACCGTAATCACATTATTCATTTCATGAGTAATCAAAACTGTAACATGTCTGGAGAAGTCTGAAGGGCGGGGCTCTCCAAAGAACTTCATTCAGTATCGGACTCACTTTCATTCATTTAGAGAGCAAGAAAACCAATCTCTCTTCTTTTGACCAAGAATTTTATTTTAAACACATAAATTAGTAATTATGTTTTTATGTAGCTGAGCAAAGCACACAGCGCACTCAGGCACAACGTCTTCAGTCCTGCGGTAATTTTGCGTGACTGTTTGATTGTTTTTAGGTGGATTCCTCGCTGTCATTTCTTGACAGATTTGTGTCAGAGGCGTTGGCTGCCGGCGCTGCTCCATACAAACCTCCCCACCAACGGCAGGAGGAACTAGATCAGTCAAAAGGTAAAATGTAGATAAATATCTTGGCAGCACATTCGGCATCTTGTTTGAATTTGTTCTGACTTTGTTGTCTATCTCAGCCTTGAGCCTGGAGCCCTATGGCCTTTCTCTGCCTATCAGCATGTCCTCCTGCAGCATCACTGACAGACAGTCTCCTACACTGTTGTCCATGAGCTCGGGTCTGTCAGGGGATAGCGCTGACCTCTCACACAAAGGAGGGTATGTGGACACCACATGCATGCATTTGTTGTAATATTTGTACATAATCAAGTTCCTAGTTTTAGTGTTGAATTCACACTGAAGACTTGCTGTTTGTGTTTCAGCTCTTCAGCTTTGAAGCTGGATGGCATAAAGAGGGTGTGGGGAAGGGAGGGCTATCTGGCCCAGAGAGAACCTGTAGAGGAAGCTGCACAGATTGAGATTCCCAGTCCCATTCAGTCTCCCGGCCGGCAGGGCGAAGGCGACAGTTTGCACAGCCAAACTCCAACTCAGACACCGACCCCAGAGCCTGAACAAGAGAAACAGCAGCTGGCCTCTTCGCTGTTTGTTGGCCTGGCTTCCCAAAGCTCTGTGTCTCTGGTGAGGTTATCAATCCATATACCATATGTGCAACGAGCAAGCATCAGCTTATGGTTCAGACTGTTCTGATTTTTATGTGGAGGATCACTGAAAGCACTTTAGCCACAGGAGTTTTAGGGCATCAGGTCAGAGTTTAAACTGTCACCGGAGTCAGTTATGCTGTAAACAAGTTGATCACTTGTACATGTCATAATGTGCCTACTGACAGCACATTTAAAATACAATTAAAATTAATATATTTTTTTGGCCTCGACAACTCAGTCTGTGCTTATCACCCAACTCACCAGATTTGCCTGCCTTCGTTTAATTAATTCAGTTCTTTTGAAGGGTCATCATTTTGAAATGAGGAGGCGATAAAGCATGCATCACCCACAAGGGCAGTGGGGTAGAACAGGAGTTCATCTGATTCAAAAATAGCAGCCACACTAAAAACATTGGAGTGTTGCCGAAGGAGATGACCTTTAAGGAACATTTAAATCAGTGACCGTTTTAGATATTTATGGCCAGAGTCCCTGAAGGTAGCCCTGAATAAAATATGTGTTAATCTATTTTTACATTTTTGGCAATTTCAACATAGAGGGCAACATTTTTTTGGAAGAAGTATTGCACAAAGAGGACCGGATGAACACTCGTCTGTTTTTTATCAAAATTAATGATGATGAACCAAACAATGATACATTTTTGTGAGGCCCGTTTAGCTACTTGGTGAGTCTAAGATGAGACAAAAGGTGTTGCTTTTTAGAACATGATTAGCTGAACATTTTCTTGGGTGGTAGGATCTACTAATGCTATTAATTTAAGGATGTCAAACTCGTTTTACATCATAGACCACATGCAGCCCACTTTGATCTTAAGTGGGCCAGATCTTTGAAACTACTTGATAAATGCATAAAAGGTTCTAGTAGTTCTTTCATTTAAACTTTAATTTAAACTTGCTTAGGTGTGTCTTGAACACACATTTCAAAGTCCAAAATTAATGATGTTCTTTATATTTTCCAAAGCTGTCACCTGGCCAGATTGGAGACCTTTAGAGGCTTTATGTTTAAAACCCCTGCTATAAGTGAAAGTGTTTAATGTGGAGCTATTTGTGCAGCTATTTGCATTGCTGATTCTGAACATTTTTTCTACAATATGTGTTTTTGCTTCTAACAGATGGGAAAATCTGAGCCAACACCACAGCGATTCCGAAGAAAAGCCAAAGGTCAAGGTCTGGGCTCGTCCTGTAATGCAAACGAGCAAATATCCAGCTCCCTCATCTCTCCTCCCAGTGCTGTAGATAACCTGCTGTGTAACAACCTACTAGACTCCAACGCCTCAGAGCTGGCCGAACAGACATCTCAGCTCTCTCAGAGCCTCACTACTGCTAATGGCACCTGTCACGCAGAGGCAGAGTTAACTGAACCTGACACAAAGGGATGTAACCCTGCTCTCCGCAGGGATAACTGTGTGGTAGCTGCTGATCCTGGTCCACATAACGACCCAGGCAGACTAACAGAAGTGTGTCTGGATTCTTATCTTCCTGCGGAGCTTTCTGGCCTTTCACACTCAGAAATCGCTCCTTTGTGTGCCAACCAAAGCCTGAATCTCTCAGCCTGTCATGTGCAGAAGGAAGATTCATTAATATTAGTTGTTTTTATTATGAACTCCTCCGAGTCTGCCATACAACAGATGCTGCTTCAGGTCGACTCGGAAGAACTTGAGGTAAATTATTCAGTGGAAAATGATCAATAGAGTCGTTTGGTGTCCATTAGTCTTTCATAATGAGGTTGCTTCGTTGTATTGTTTATTTTTAGGTATCCTCCCTATGTGATAGTCCAGCGGGGGAGGTGACAAGCCACAGTGTAGCAGTGGGCCAGTATTCTCTAACTGTGAAGAGGCCTGCGGTTCACGTCGAGGTGGTCGGGACGGTATCTTACCAGCTGCCTGCTGGGACGTCTCAGTCATTGCAGTTTTTATATAAAGTCCCTTTAACCAGCTTCATCAGGTGAGATATGTAGTGCTCATATTTGAAGTGCAGCATTTAAGTGACATAAAATTAATCCAAGTTTCCTGCAGGCCTTTTGTGGTGTCCACGGAGGAATACGGGACGATGTGGCTTTCCTTCTCTCACGACACAAAGCAGAATCTGACGTTGATAAATGACAACCAAGAACCTCTCACAGCCACTCTGAATGCTCTGAAGAAGAAGCTCCAGCTTCATGTTGTGGAAGTTATAGGTGAATGAACATTTGTTTCCTG